GTGTGTGTGTGTGTGTGTGTGTGTGTGTGTGTGTGTAAGTCTGGGATAGAGAGAGAGAGGAAAGATCAAAACCATTAGGCTTGTTTCCGATACAACCTAAACTGGGTTGATGTTGCTGTAAAAAAATAAATAAAACGTACTCCCCAATCTGTCCCAGAACCTGCTGACTAGTCTGGCCGCCAACAAGGGCCGTCTGGACGCCATTAACCAGCTCGCTGACGTCATCGTCAAGTCCGGAAGTTCACAGAAGGACAAGGTCACTCAGCGGAAAAAGGAAATTAACGACAGGTGGGTGGATCGTTTGGCATGGCTGCTTATCGATTGTTTTGTTAGTTAGTTACTTACGTACTTAGTTACTTAGTTCATTACTTACTTACGTAGTTAGTCAGTGAGTTAATGAGTTAGTTGGTTAGTTAATTAGTTAGTTAGTTAGTTAATTAGATGTTAGTTATTACTTTGTTTATTTATCCCATATATTTCTGAATACAACTGAGCAATTGTTGTTTATTTATACATTTATCCATCACATTTTTTAAATATTTTCTTGTAATTCAGAAAAAAAGATTACTCTGTTGTGTTGTGACTTTTATCGTCTTCCAAGCGCCTGTTAAATCAACTTACAATGTGGAAAAAGGGGTTGAACTCATTAAGGAACGTAAAGGATACACATTGAGATGTAAAAACACCTGCATTTAATTAATTTTTGTTGTTGTTTTTTTTTGCGCCAGATGGGAGAGACTGAACCAATTGAAGGTTGAGAAAGAAAAGAGCCTGAAAGGAGCCTCCAGGTACAGACTGTTTTGTCTTCTGCGGGGATTCTTGTGGGGTCTGCTTCTTCTTCTTCTCCTTCTTCTTTCGGGATTACTTTCTGTCTATCTCTCTATCGCTTCCTATTTCACTATCTTATCTATCTTTCCCTTTACACAGCCATCTTTATCTTTGTGGTTTCTTCGTCTCTCTGTCTAGCCCTCTCCCTTAATCCATCCATCCATCCATCCATCCATCCATCCATCCATCCATCCATCCATCCATC